TGTGAGTCCTCCAGTACCTGGAAAAGAGCTGCACCTGTTTGATTGGCTCGGCAGTTAAAGCGCCGACCAATACCAAAATACCAAAATACGTCGACAATTGGGAACTTGGCTTGGGAAAATAAAAAGAATCTGTATATTGTCGACACTATGCAAAACATGCGCTGAGGCCTGCCCTATGCGGGCCTCTACACAAGACAACATAGTCAACCCCTCCCCCTTCACTAGCCCCACCGAGCGCAGGCCTAGGCCTTGCGACCGAAGGATCGATGACGAGAGGCAGCCACGAACCGCGCCAGGGCCGCCACCTGCTTGCTCTTCACCCGCGCCTCCTCCTGGCCGTTCAGCTCGCGCCGGGCTCGCCCCAGCTCGTGCCATGCCAGGTGCTGCTGCTCGTTGTGGTGCTGCTGCTGCTCCTCCGCCTGGCTCTCCCACTTGCTCAGGAGGTTGGTGGTCTTGTAGTTGTTCATCTCCGTAGCGGCGTTCATCTTCTTCTTCTTGTCTTGGCTGTGTAGCGTGTAGTGGTAGTAGTTTGTCAGGTGTTGTTGTTTGCTGTTTGTTTGTTTGTTTGTTTGAATGTTGTGCTCGATGCTCCTCCTTGTATAAAAACCACTGGGACATACGGCACCGGGTTGATGTGCGTCTCCAGGATTCGCTGGCCCGCTGGCTGCTCCATCGCTCTCCTCCTGGTCCACCCCATTCAAAAAACGCAGCTGCGGTCGGTCGCCGCGTCTCCCGCGCCTCAAGGAAAGGAAATCAAACCTGACCCTGTGGGTACCCGGTTCTCAAGGGTCCGGTAACCGCCATGACCTGCATGTACGCAGTAACTCCAACCCCTCGCGCCTACATTCTACCCAATCAGGTTTTGGTTCATTTAATAGAATATTGATAAAAAAAATCACTTTATGCATGTGTTGGTGGCCAGCCAGCTCTCTGCCTGACGTTTACGCTGTGACAGCGTTGTCGAGTGTTCCTGGTTGTTTGTGGTGGTGGTGGTGGGCTGCTTAGGCCTCACGTTCGGCTGGTCGGCGCAGGCGAGAGGTGGCGGCCCGGAAGCGCACGAGGGCAGCGACCTGTTGGCGCTTTACCCGGGCGCCCTCCTCCCGGCCCAAGCGCTCGCCGTTCCGCTGCTCGTGCCAGGGCCGTTCGTGCTTGCTCGCCTCGGCCTGCCACCAGTCCAGCGCCGCCGTCGCGTTGTGTTGCCCCGTGGTCGTGCCGGTCATGCTGTTGTGCGTTGTTGAGCGTGCAGTCTTGTACGCTGTGTGTTGTGCGTTTGAAAGACGAGCTCAACATGTTGTACAACCGCCTCCCGCGACGGAGTTCAAAGCGAGAATCGCTGCCGTATTCCCGTGGGAGTGCCTGTTTAAAATGTAGGACCCAACCAGGTTGCATCTGGACCTCCGCCGAGAACAGATAATGCAACGAGCTTGGGCACCACCTCCATAAATTATTATTTTTCTACTAAGACCGGTTGTGAGGCGAGGGCCGCCTTGGCCTGGCATTTGTCGATGGCCGTCATCCAGTCCATGATCTGCTCCTCCTCGCTCGTTTGTGTGCCGCCACCGCCACATGTGGGGAACAGGTAGAACACCTTGCCCTCGTTCTGCTTGTCCACCACCACTATGCACGTACGGTCTGTGGCGTGATGAGATGCGTTCGGGCTGTGGTGTGCCGCTTGTCGTGGTGTCTGTGTGCGGTGTGTGCGGTGTGTGCGGTGTGCATGTACCGCCGTAGTGCGAGTCAGTGTAGCGCTTAGTGACAGAGACACGGGCACCGGCTAGTTCGATCCTTCCAAGAGGTGCGTCGTGCTGTGTACTGTGGTTGTGAGTAGAACGATATACTACAATGTAATCTAATTGTAATGTAATGTAATGTAATCTAATATAATTTCATATTATATAAACTACTTGCAACGGACCTCACAAGACTCGTGGTAGGTGAGGACAGTGCCGCGTAGCGTGAACCATCGCCTCTTCCAAGACTTCCACAGGTGCCCTACGCGTGGCCCAGCGAGAACCAGGCCAGGGGTGTCAATAGAAAGGCGCAACATGTTTGAAGGGGGGGGATGAGGCCAGTCGCACCTTCCTTGACGAGGTAGCCGGCCTTGGTGACCCGCTTGGTGTAGCCAAAGGGGCCGGAGCTCTGGGATACCGACGAGGACGAGGACGAGGACGAGCTCGTAGAGGAAGCGGTGGTGGTTGTGGTGGTTGTTGTCGAGGAACTCTCTGTCCTGGCGCTGCACACTGCCTCCACCACGCCGGAGAGCACCACTTCTAGAACGACCTCAAGAATTGCTCCAGCCACCTCCTCCGCCATACCTGTGTGTTGTTCATATTTATCTTTTTATTTATATTTCTCTGGGCGGAAAAAGGAAGAGCAGAACGCCCTTCCTTATTCGCTGAATTGATCAAATAAATGGTTATTCTTGACTATTCTTAAATTTATTATTTATTTGTTAATTTAATTTAATATTGACCACACAAATACAGAGGGGGGTAACTAGTCGGCCTTGTCGAGCACGCAGCGGAGGAGGAAGTCCTCGGGGAAGCGCGGGTCCTTGAGCACGCCGTGCTTGGGGCTGTCGAGCTGCTTCACCGGCAGATCCAACATCTCCTCGCCCTGGTGGAAATTTGTGTGGAACGCAAACCTGTGTGGCGTGTGCGGTGTGCGGTGTGTGCGGTGTGCGTGGTGAGTGTGTGTGGTGTGTACGTGCGCGCGCGCGTGTGTGTGGTGTGTGAGTGGTTGGTGGACGAGGAGGCGGGGTTCGCTTGAAGAAGGCGCGTGATAAGTACCGGAGGACCATGACGGGCTTGCTGGTGAGGAGGTAGGACTGCTGGTGGTACAGCCGGACCAGGACGTCGCCCGCCACGACGGCGCCCACCTCGAGCACGATCTTGGAGCCGTGCAGGGCCGTGTAGGTCTTGTCCGGCGTGCTCTTGAACGCCGGCTTCGCCGCGTCGGCCGCGTCGATGATCTCCACCACCGGCGTGAACTGCGCAGGTGGATCAATAATGAGAATTGAAGAATAAATAGTAAATAAACAGAAGGATTACAGGATCGTGTAACAATAGTACTAGAGATAATAAACAACAAGAAATTAATTAAATAAAAAATAAATAATACTAAAATATAATGCTACCTGTTTGCCCAGGGTGTCGAGTAGCGGAATGGGGCTCATGATGAGCCTCACGATCCTGGAAAGAGGTGAGCGAACAACACAAAAGCCAAACTTGATGGTAAAGAGGCCGTACTTGAGCTTCTTGGCCGGGAAGGCGTCGATCTCCTTCTTGAGCACCTTGTCGAAATAACCCACATATCTATGCACCACACGCACACGCACACGCACGACACGCACACGCGCAAGAGTATTAGGCTCGTGCGGTTGGAGGGGGGGTTGAGGGGGGAGGGTAGGAACCGCTTCTGGGAGGGGACCGAGACGCCGCCGAGGCCGCCGCCCTTGGTCGAGCGCTTGGAGGCGAAGTAGGTGATACCCTCCTCCACGCTCTGGCAGATGCCCCGGTGCCGCAGCAGCGCCGCCACCACCGTGCCCGTTCGCCCGCGACCCGCCTGTCCACCCCATCACCGTCAGCCGCACGACACACGCGCACCGCACACACCGCACACACGGCGTGAGACACGCGCCTTGCAGTGGATGGCGACGACGTTGGCGGGGTCCTGGTCGAGCCAGGCGGACATGATCTCGACGATGGTGATGAGTATCTCGAGGGTGGGCGAGTGGTGGTCGGGCCACCCGATGTCGACCACCTGGTGGTTGAGCTTGGCCCGGTCGTAGTGCTTGCCCGACACGTTGTAGATGCGGTAGTGGCCCGCGTGGTACTTCTCAAAGAACTCCTTCACCTCATCTACACACACACACACACACACAACACACACACACACACACAACACACACACACAACACACAACACACAACACACAACACACACACAACACATACACAACACGAGGTGAGCGGTGCGGTGCGGTGCGCTGTGGTGCGCTGTGGGTGTGAGGGTACTGATGTCATTGCGGTAGGCGGCTTCGATGCGCTTCTCGGCCGGGTAGCCCAGAGCGATGATGTTGTCCGTGATGTCTACACAACGCCAACGGTTAGGTTAGTCGGGACTGTGCACACACCACACCGCACGACACGCGCACACCGCACGCACACGCACACGCACACGCACGCACACACACGCATAGAGAAAGGGCGGGTACAGGAGAGGTCGAGATCGAAGCCGTCCTGCACGAAGCGGACCTTTTCCTGGGAGACCAGCGTGCGGACGGTGTTGAGAGTAGACGTCTTCATGTCGTTCAAATAGGCAGCGGCGCCCGCCGCGGCGGTCGGCTGCTGTGGCTCGAGCGGCTCCTCAAACGGATCCGATTCCATCATGACCTCTCTGGATGGTCAATCAATCAAAACAATCAAAATTAATAAATTGCACTTCCTGCTCAATTAAATGAATTAAATATGAGTAATCAATCAAACGTTCGTTTTCCAGCTTTGGAGGACGCACGAACAAAGCTTGAAAGATTGTGGGAAGGCCGTACCTTTTGGTTGTGGATGACCGAACGACGAGAACGACAAAATGAAATGACGAAGATGGAAAATAAGAAAACAAGAAAAGAAAATTGGATTCTTTCTATTTATCTTTCTCTTTGATCGATCAGGCAACGGCCACATGGATCGATGATGATGGTCAAGGCCGCGTGGGCGTGGGCGCCGGGGGAGAGAAGGCAAAGGCAACGCTGAGCAGCTGGTCGGCGAGCTGCCGTGCCTCGGCCGACGGATCACCTTGCGCCAGCGTCCGTAGACCGGCTTGCACCTGTGTTGTGTTGGTGTGTGTCATCAGCAGCTGATGATGATCCACGTTTGTCCTTCTGGCGGTGGGCACACACACCACACACCACAATACACACGCACACACACACACACACTCGTTGTACAGCTGGCCGCGGTGGTACCTGGTAGAAAACGGTGGGGACGGTGAGGAAGAGCTCCTCGGCGTCGGGAGAGCTCAGCACGGCGCCCAGTAGCTTCATGCCCGCCATTCGCACCTGTGAACGACATTTATTACTATTTTGTAAATATATACTAGTCGCCGGCGTCTGCATGAATGAAAGATCATTGAGGGGGAGGGGAAAGGGACAACCTCGGGGGCGGGGTCCTGTAACGCGTGGACGGCGGCGGCGAGGAGCTCCTTGCCCTCGCCCCTAAACTCGCCCTTGAGCTGATAGGCGATCGTGAAGAGCAGCTGAAACCACAACACACGAAATCAACGTCATTGGTTTTTGGCGCGTGTATCGCATTCCTTTCCCATTCTTTAACGTGTGTCGTGTCGTGTCGTGTCGTGTCGTGTCGTGTCGTGTCGTGTCGTGTCGTGTCGTGTCGTGTCGTACCTGGAGGTGAGCCGCACGGAGAAAGTGAAGCCCGAACTCGTGTGACGTGGACCCAGTGCCACTGACGGCGAAGTAGGACACCAGCAGCTGCGGGATGAGCCACGCACCGAGCGCCTGCAGCACCGACAGACTGGAGCGCCCAACCACCACACCCGCGAAGAGACCAGTTGAGCCTCCTCCCCCCGATCGGGCGAACGAATGCTGCGCCGCGCGGCTGAGTGGGCTACGTACCCGATGCCCTTGGCCAGGGTGATGAGGACGTTGATGGCGCAGATGCGGAAGCTGGGCGACAGCTGCTCTTCCACAGCGGCGCCCTGCTCCTCACCGACCTCCAGCCGCGCATTCGCGCGCGACGATGATGACGATGACAACGCCTCGAGGCCGCGACTAGCTCTGCCTGTTAACCGCACACACGCCGCACGCAGAGCACCGCACACGCCGCACGCAGGCGAGCTGCATGTCACGCGAAAGCCGAAATGAAGGGTGAACGAAGAGGAGGAAACCAACCGGTGCAGACGAAGTGGAGGAGAAGCGGCAGAAGGTCGGCGCCCTCGCGCAGCGCGGGCTGGCGGGCCGTGAGGGTGACCTGCGAGGTGCGTCGGGCCAGGGCCAGCACGTCCGCGGGGTGGCCAGCGCGGACTTGAGCACCAGCGCCAGAAAGTCGATGCACGCGTGCTGCAGCTTCTGCACCTCGAGCGAGCCTGGGCCGCGACCCGCAACCGCCACCAACGCATCGGTGCGCGTGCGTGCGTGCGTGTGTGTGTGCGTGTGTGTGTTTGTGTGTGTGCGGTGGTGCGTGTGGAGTGAAAGAAAGAAAAATGATGGGCGAGCGCGTACCGGTGGAAGAGGAGGGGATGGGCAGCTTGAGGAGGGAGAGGATGGCGGGCACGAGGTCGATGACGAACGGATGCGCCGCCTTGCCGTGCACCAGCAACGCGTTGCAGATCGCATAAATGTCGACCTTACATTAACATTGAGCGTTAGCACACGACACACGACACGACACACACGACACACGACACGACACACACGACACACACGCGCTACGGCTGAATGGTACCTTGATGTGGACGAGGGCGGCCTCGTCGATGTGGCGGAGGAGCGATTGTGAGATGGCGGGAAGAGTGAGCTTCGGGGGCAGGAAGGCCACCACCTCGGCCGCCAGCTTGCGCACGTCCTCGAACTCGTAGAGTTGAGTCATCCGCACCAGCAGCTGCTCGCGCAGTCGGACCAGCAGCTGCTCCTTCTCCTCCACTTCTATTTCTCTGATTTTCTTTCATCTTTCTTCTTCTTCTTCTTCTTCCACGCGCTGTTGGTGTTGCTCGACGATCGCCTTCTCCTGCTCTTCGTCGATCTCTTCGATCAGCGGCCGTGTGCGCACCTGCGTCGACATTAACAAAGTGAGACGGCGCGATTCGTGCACGAATTGTGTACGGTCTAAGGGGTTTGGTACGGTCGCGTCGTCGGTGCGTAGGGGCTGTTCTTCTTCGATTTGGTCCGTGGCGGGGCCGTCGGCCAGACCGAAGGCGCGGAAGGGGACCACCTTGAGCGCGAGCAGGGGCGCCAGCCGCGCGAACAGCAGGTCCCTCACCCGCTTCGCGCTGTCGTCGGCCGACGAGCTCAACAACTCCTCCGTCAAGCTGACCAAACATTACACACAGTTAAAACGTAACACGACGGCACGACACGCCACCGCACACGGCCAACGACACGACACGCGAGGCAGCGCGCAGTTGTACCTCTCTTGGGTTTCCATGCGTTGAAGGACGAGCGGCAGGAAGTCGAGGAGGTGCTGACCCAGCTGTGTGCCGACCTTGCTGAGGAACTTGACGATGACGGGCTCCTCGGGCCGCGCGAACAGGTGGCTCAGCAGCACCGATATGAGCGACGGCCACACGTGTGCGGGCAACTGCGACGGGCGAGCGACACCTTAAACGTAAACCGAAATGTGTGCGTGTGCGTGTGCGTGCGTGTGCGTGTGCGTGCGTGTGCGTGCACAAACCTTTTCTGCCCACTTGGGCACGAGCCGGAGGACACGCTCGGCAAGCTCGTCGCGCTGCTTCTCGCGGCGTTGCAGTGTGTCGGCGGGCAGCGCCTTGGGCGTGCCGATGACTCCCGGCGTAAGCTTGGTGGCCGACGACTCCCTCTTTTCGTCGGAGGTGTGCCGCTCGCTGCATAACACGAGGGCGTCGGCACACGACGCACACGACACGACACGACACACACACACACGACACGACACACACGACACACACCGCACCACAGGTGATCGAGCAGAATGCTGACGGTGCCGGTGACGTCGGGATGGCCTTGCATGAGGGCCAGCAGGGCCTGATCCGCTGCCGACCGCACCCGCGCGTCTTTGTCGTACACCAACCGCACCAGCGCCGGCACGATGTCCCTCGGCTCTGCGCGGCGGGACGTCAGCACGCGCGTGTGTCGTGTCATGTGTCTTGCGGCGTGTGCGGTTGCGTGTGCGGTTGTGCGTACCGAGGTTCGCAAAGAGCGCGGAGGCCTCGAGTCGCAGGGTGAGCTCGGTGTCGTAGAGTCGCTTCAGCAGGTGGTCGGCCAGTCGCTTGCTGAGCTCAGTGCTGCGCCGACCGCCGCCCTGCGCGAGCTTGGCGTCGATCTTGAACACCTCCACTAGGATCGCGAGCGCGTGGCCCCGCTGAGTCTTGTCCGTCGAGTCCAGCCGGCGAAAGATGTCCTCCAGAATGCCCTCGGGGTGGCTGCTCCCAACCGTCACACCATCGAGTTTGAATGCGTGCGTGTGCGGTCGAGCGTGTGCGGCGTGTGCGGTGGTGCGAGTGTGCGTACGAAGCGGCGTATTCAGCGATGAACCCGATGATGGCGGCAGACACGCCGTCCTTGCCCTCCAGCAGAAGCAGCAGGCTCGAAGCGATCCCGCCCAGTTTCTCGCTGCCCATCTCCAGCACCAGCACCGACCTACGACGCCCGATTGCTTAGTCTCAGCTTTTAGAAGAAGAACGAAGAAGAAGAAGAATGAAGAATGAAGAATGAAGAAGAACCTGAGGATGTGGACGGCGAGTATTTGGTTGGCCTCGTCCGGCGCGCGCAGTTGCTTGGGCAGCTCACCGTAGACAAAGTCGGCCAGGTGGGCGTTGGCCATGGCCGCCTTGATCTCGGCCTTGGACATGCGGCCAAGGAGCAGCGAGAGACAGACCAGCGTCTTGAGGTTCCCTTCCCGGTCGTACTTGGCGCCCAGCACGAACGGATCCTGCAGTGACGATGACGACGATGGCGATGAGCTAACGGTGGTGTGTGTCATGTGCGTGAGTGCGTGCGTGTGTGTGTGCGTAGTGCGTGAGTGCGTGCGTGTGTAGTGTGTGTCGTGTGTCATGTGTCATGTGTCGTGCCTGCAGCGCGGCAAAGAGTCGCTCCAACTCGGCGACGAGGCGCTTCTCTCGGGCGAACGGGTTGTCCTCGCGCAGGTACGACGGGTAGATGTTCCACGAGACGGCAAACACTTTCTGCGCCGTGGAGTCGTCCTCTGCACAACACGAGTGAGACGAACACTGTTCGGTCACGTATGCGGTCGTGTGGCGTGTGCGGTCGTGGCGTGTGTACGTTTGTGCAAGGTGGCCGTGTCGCGGTACTGTTGGAGCAGGTTGGTCGAGTTCTGCAGCGCATCGAGTCCCGACACAAAGAGCGGCCGATGCAGCTTGTACCACTAGTGGGACCGGGTCACAACCACCCATCGCACACATCACAACCTACGGTTAATGTCATGAAAATATATACCTGTATATATAATAAATACAGACGATAACGGCGTGTGCATACCTCCTTCAGCTCGACGAGAAGATCGGCCACGAGGTCGAGTTCGCTCCAGAGCTGCGCCACGGGACCCCGAGCTTCTTTCTTCTCCTCCTCGACTTCCATGAATTCCTCTTCTTCATCTTCTTCCTCTTCGCCGCCGAGATCCTGAATCAGCACGCCCCCCTTGGCGGGTTGCGGCGCCTTCGCGGGTGCTCGCTGATGGGCGGTGGTGGCGACGATCTCCCTGACTACTGGTGACGATGACGATGCCGACGACGATGGTGTTGAGGAGGAACGGTCAGCACGCGATTGCTTCTGCTGTTGGTGGTATTCCCGCTGAATCGCGGCGAAGGCCTGCTGGGCCATGAGGTGGATGATGGTCAGGCACAGGTCCGCCGCGCCGACGGTCAATCGCGTCGGCTGCCGCGCTTGGCCCTGCTTCACGCTGAAGATCAAGAGCGGGGAACCACACACACACACACACACCACACACACACCACACACACCAGGGGTGAGCCAAGCGGTGCCCAGGCCCTAGGGCTTCTCTACACTACGACGCGGTGTACCTGTCCTCCTTGACCACGCGAAACAGGCTGGGCAGGAACTGTTGCAGCAATCGAGGCCACTCAATGCGCCTCTCGTCCTCCACCTTGCCCTTCTTGTTGGCGCTCAGTCGATCGCCGATGTTGAGCAGCCCTGCGTGATGAGGACGGTGGTGTGTGACCGATCAGCAAAGTGATAGTAGCAGACGGACAACACTACTGAGGAATGGTCTACGGGGTACCTTGTGGGATGAGCGACGGCTTGGTTGGCGCTGTTTGTGTGGCTTCCGGGCTGGCGTGGCCCTCGTTGGCTAGATCTGCTTGCCACAGGAGTGGTGAGTGCCCACGACACACAACAACAGCAACGTGCACCACGCGCACAACGGGAAGACAACAGGGAGAGAAGAACAGTCTCAGGTACCATTTGTGACCTGTTCTGTGATCCACTTGAGCGCCGCTACGCTGTACATCTTGTGGTGCTTGTTGGCCCCAACCAACGTCTCTGCCAGCACAGCGCAGCAATGCGTAGTGTGATACCTGGGTGGAGAGGACGGTGAGTAGCGGCTTGGCCTTTGCACGAAACGATTAGAGTGGAGAGGAGAAAGAAGTAGAACAAGTAGAGACTAGTGTACGTGAGGAGCCAGCGGAAGATCCTCCACACTCGGCATCGGCTGCTTTCGCTCAGGTTCGCCACCTGAGCAGCACACGAATGTACTTCAACACAGAGCATGCCCACGGTTGGTGCAATGAGTGGGGCGGGGTCCTACCTGCTCAAGCAGCGCGGAGCTGACGGAGCGCATGGCCGCAGCACCGTCGCCAGTGTGGAGTGTAGCGGTCAGGCTGTCGAGTGCTCGGCTCACGGAAGCGGCGGCAGCATGTGTGGAGGGGCTCCAAAACCGTAGCGACTTTGGATCTGCCTTGATGAGGATGAGTAGCGCCTTGCCCAGCGGCAACGTTGAAGATGAAGCAGAAGAAATCGTTGTGATTTGGCGCAGCGTGAATTCATCGCTGCTGCCCGACGCAGACGAGGAGCCCACTCGCTGTGACACTTCCCTGAAGCTTGCACCAACAGCGCGCTCCATCTTCTGCCTTTGTTTTTTATCTCTTTTTTGTCTTTTGTTTTTTGTTTTGGTTTTTCTCTCAGTTTCTTTTTCTTCCAGGCCACAGTTCTAGAGGAAGAGGGTGGTATCAGAGGGCTGGCCCAGTACGTGGCGGTAGTGGGTGGTCATCTGGGAGAACGCCGAGTAGAGGTTGCCCACGAACAGCTCCGCATGAGCGCACACCACCATATCCACCACCGCAAAGTGGTTGTTGTCGAACTTGGCCGGAAACAGCCCTCGCGTTTCCGGATCGTTCAACTTGGACACCTGGACGGGGTGGTGCACATGTACGACATGAGAAGAACGAAAACGAAGAACGAAGAACGAAGAACGAAGAAGGGGCGCGGCGATGATCATGTACCCATGGCAGGTCGTTGAGCAGAACGTCATCGCCATCCTGAGCGGTGAGATCGGTGGCGACGAAGATGCGGGTGTAGTTGCCCATCTCGCGGATGGCGGTGAGCCGGTGGATGATGTCTGTCATCGGTGTGTAGCAGCGATCGAACACCAACGCTCTGTCCGTGATCTTGACCCTTTCGTCTGCTACGTCGCCTTCATGGTCCTTGACGGCGCGACAGTACTTCTCGTAGTCCGCTCCCCTCCGCAGGTGAACCGCGGCGTAGGGCGCCGTGCCGTCTTCGCTGAGCGCGTCGATGTACTCTCGGGCCTTGGCCACCAACGGCGTCGGGAAGCGGAGCGCGGCATGGAGGATGGCGTGGAGGAACGTGGGCGGTACGTTGTAGAAGCCGCGCAGCGAGTTGAAGATGATCAGCTCCCGCTGGCCGTACTTGCCCTGCCCGACTTCTGCACGATCCTCTCCTCGTCGGACGTCCACCCAGTCGCGCCCGCGCTGTGGCTGTCGCTAGTCCACTCGATCTCGTCGACCCGGGCGACCGAGAGGCCCTGCGACTTGAAGTAGTAGTTTCGATGGTCTCCGCCGCCCGTGACCTCTTGCTGTTGCGCGTCGGCTGCCGACTTGAGCTTGATCATGTCTGTGTGCAGGTTACCGCGATCGGCGAGGTTGCCGCTCAGTTGCACCTCCTTGACCTTGACCACCTTCTGCTTGCGAGTCAACGTCTCAACCTTGGCGACGGCAGCAGCAGCATTCTCGGCGTCGATCTTCTGCTGGGCGGCCGCAGCTCCGATGGCGAAGTCGGATGGACGGTAGACGATGGACATCTTCTGCGACTCCGCTTGAGCCTGGACCAGGTCGATCAGTTTGCCCTTGAGGTCGGGGGTCAGTTGCTTTGCCTGACCTTCCACGCCGCTCGCGAAAGAGTTCAGGAATGCCGCCCTGTGCACCGTGAGGACCACATCATTAACACTGACGGAAGGTAATAAATCAACGATCCCGTACCACGAGGCTGTGGGCGCGTAGTCCTGCAGCGCAGTGGTGTTGAGATAGACCATTGCCGGCCTGCACGGGGGCTGGTGCGTGAGAGTCTGCAGACAACAGCGGCAGTGCAGCGCTTGGAGCTGAACGTCGACGTACGTGGTGGGGTGGTAGTAGTTATCGCTCGAGCCATCCCCGAACAGGGGCAGCACCAGCGTCCTGACCCGGTAGAACAGCCCTCAAGGTGAGTCCAAGGAAAGCTGTGTGCGAGGCGGCGCAGAGGCTAGAGTGTACCTATCGAGAAGCTTGGCCCAGGCGAGGGCCTCCATGAGCGCGAGCATCTGGTGGCTGATGCCTCCGTGCTCGTTGTACTTACCCGGTGGCGGCTGGTACACCAAGTACCGGCCCGCAGCCTCTGCACAAGGCCCATGTCAGTCGCTGGGTGTGTGCGGTGCATCCCCGTAGCTACGAGCGTAGAAGTTGCGACCTGTGGGGCGTACCATTCTTCCAGGACGCGGTCTCAAGGAGCACTTGGAGGTGATGCTTCATTCCGTGCCTTCCGCTCTTTCGCCACAGGTGGTCGTCGAGCTCCTCGGCCGCCGCGGAAGAATGGTGCGGGTGAAGTCCGTTGTAGAGGTGCAGCGAGTGGAGATCGTGCGCGGCCTCCTTCCAGTTCTTCCACACGTAGCGGCGCCTCTCCATTTCCTCCCACTGTTCGTCGTCGCCGTCGAAGCCCTTGAGTATCTTACGCACTGCGGGCAGGATGCGCGTCTGCAGCAGAATCCTCCGCTTGTCTATTCGCCCGAGACTGTGAGCACCGAGCGTGCCCTCTTCGTCGTTTCCGCTTTCGTCATCTCCTGTGTCGTCGTGTTCGGCCGCAGTTGAATCGAGGCCGCCCTTAAGGAGTCGTAAGCGCGCGTTCTCGTCTTCGAGGCGCTGTATCTCACGCTCCTTGTCCTTGAGTTTCCGTTCTACCTCGGCCTCCACGCTCTCCACAGCCCAGCGGGCACCAGGCGCCACGTACACCCCGGCTTCTTCGTCGTACCACTTCAGGTGCGACGATGGTACCAGACCCTCCCGCCCCTCGCCTGTGCAGCGGTCAGTGTAAGCCCGGGTTAGTCCGAGGGATTGAAGCGCCAAGAGTGTCTACTCGTGCACGTACCATTCTTGACCCGCCACCATACGTTGCTCGGCACTGCGTGTACGACGATTACTTCTTCGCCTTCGTAGAGTGGGAGCTCGTCCTCATCGTCTGTCGCGCTGAAGTCTTTCGTCGCAATGGCGACCACTCCGAACTTGGCCAGCGAGTCGTCTCCGCTTGCCTTCTCCGCTTCGGTGAGCCCTGCCCTCTTGCGGCCGATGTCTCCAAGTAAGTCAGGCGGCCGATAGGCGTCACCGTCCTTGAAGAAGTCCCCGTTGGTGATCTCCTCAATGATGGCCCGTAGAGCTCTACACAACACATACACACAGCCGATGAGATGGCCACGCGTCAAGCGCTGACTGAAGAAGCAAGAGCACACCTCTGTCGCTGGCCACCATCGCTCTCGGTACCAGCGTCGCCATTCGAGGCCTCTTCTTTGGCGCTGATGGCGAGAAGTGCCTCCACGACCTTGTCCTGGAGGTGCTGGAGGGCGCGGTCGTTGTGGCGCTGTACCGCCGCTACCACGTCGCCGATCCACTGGTTCATCTGCTCAAGCTGCATCTCGCCCAGTCGCACCTTGCGCGAAGCGAGCCGCTCGTTGGCGCTCATCTTCGCTTCGAATCGCTTCTCCTGTGCATCTACCCTCAGGTACTTGCCCTCCAGCAGCAGTAGCTCGTTGGCCAGCTCCTCCTTCGTTCTGGCGCACAGAAGAAGAACCGTAAGTGGTTGATGAAGTTCAACACGGAAAGGGATGCGCGCGGCGTGTACCACCACACGGTAAGGCGCTGCAGAGTCGTGGCGGTGCATAGGATGGATAGCGCAACGCGTCGAGTTCAAATTGTAAGAGGTATGTAGCGCTGCTCGGCGGCGTGAGTGGCACGTACTGGTTAAGCAGCTTGGCAAGAGCGGCATCGCGGCCAAGGTAGTCTTCCCTCTCGTTCGCCCTCAGCTCTTCCTGTTTGCGAAGCGCCAGCTCGTGACCTTCGACCTTCTTCTTAAGTACCTTGAGAAAGCGATGGTCCTCTTTGAGGATCTCCTCTTGTTCCTCGAGGCTCAGGCTCCTGGCTGCGGTGTAGGGGGCTGCGGTGGTGGGAGCGATCCGACGAATCTGCTGATGCTCGTGTGTTGCATCCACCAAGCTCGACGATTCATAGCGATAATGGAAAAGATGGAAGTAGAAGTAGAACCACCCGCACAACACTGCCAGCATGGCAAGGCACACCCATCGCTTCCATCTGTGGGGCTGCATTTGATTTGCGCAGGCAAGGAAAAGCGCGCGAGAAAAGTTGGCCTCGGCGTTTCCGTGCCTGCGTTGGAGTTGCCGGTGCCAACTCCCAGCGAGCAAGACGCGACTCAGTACATCCGCTACAGAGCTCAGAACACACCAATGCAGCAAGTAGTGCGTCTCTTGACCTTGGAACGGTACACAATCCTCTCGTCTTCCCACATCGACGCAGCAAGTAGTAAGCCTCTTGCATCGTTGGCGCGTAGGTATCAGGATGCTGTCGATGCCCTGAACACGTTGAACACGGTCAAGGTGGTCATCGAGGGCGCGGGCGACGAGTGGAAGGCCGAGGCGACCTCCCGCCTATGCTCCATCAGGCCGTCGTCGAGCTGGGCGCTACACGTCACGAAGGACGAGAAGAAGCGGGAGTTCTTCTCCTGCCTCAAGAAGTGCTTCCACATCCTGGAGAACACTCGCGACGCGGTACAGACCTGCAACACTTCCCTCCGCTAAGCTGCTGAAGATACTGAAGCCTCGTGGCTAGCTTGCCTGTGAGTACGAGATGCTGAACGCGAGCGAGATTGAGAAGGCACCGTTCCTCTGGCAGCAATGGATGCACTACGCCGAGTCATGCTCTACACAGGTGCCTATCTCCCCGAACCGAACGCGTATTTTCATTGCTAAGCAGCATTGGCTTCTTGCTCGAGCAGGGCTATCAAAGACAGGCGGCAGTGGTATGTACCTCTTCCTCTAGCTGCGGCGGTCCGCGTCGCTGACCGTTGATGCCTTCAGGGATTTGAGAAGGCTGTCAACGAGCTCGGCAAGCTATCTGAAGACGCCATGAGCAAAGTGCAGAGATCGGTAGTGCTTACCTACTGCTATCTCGAGAGGGCCAAGTGTTTCCAGGAGAGCGGGAAGCCTGGTACGCGGTCATGAGTGCGCCAGCCGTAGACATCGCACTGAACTGACCTGTTCCTTCCTCTTCCTTGAACTTCCCCCGTAGTCGAAGCCGCAGCAGCCCAGCAAGTCGCACGTAGCTACGCCTGACCGGGAGGACACCCTCGTGTCACTGCGCTTCACTCGTCTGCATTAGTCTGTGGCTAGCAAGCTCCTCGTCGCTAGCGTGAACAAAGAAACCGCCTTGGCGTCAGGTTCGACTCTTGCACTGTTGGTCTCCCTAGGGCTGAAAGGAAAGAGTGAGAGCATCTAGACGGTGGAGAGAAGAGAGAGAGAGAGAGAGGCGCAACGCCTTCTTGTTGGGATCTGGGAGCGTATGTATGAGAGGAAGAGATTAGTTTATTCGTCGGTGGTCCGAACCGCTTACACGACGAGAACAAGCGAGTGATGATGTGATGACGGTGGGTAGAGGGCAGAGAGGAAGCGATCGCAGAGGTGATAACATGCAGAAGGAGGAGGACGAAGTGGTGGTAGAGGAGAATAAATTAATTATACGGTGGGCCAGTTCTTACCGGGGAATTGGACCTTCCGGTTCTTCAGGACGGACCACTTGAACCTCTTGATGTACCAGCTGCAGCCGAAGAGGGCGCCGAGGTAGATGAGGACCTTGATGCCCATGACCCTCCGCTCGTCTTGCTCGGGACGGGCGGTCCAGCACAGGAAGGCCGACACGTCCTTGGCCATCTGCGACACGCTCGCCTCGGTGCCATCCTCGTACTCGAGCATCCCATCGTTGAGGGGGGGAGGCATGCCGATGGCGCCACCGGGGAAGTAGGGGTTGTAGTAGAGGCCCTCCCTCACGTTCAGGCCAGCGGGGGCGGGCATGTAGCCGGTGAGCAGAGCGAAGATGTAATCGGCACCCTGCTCGCGGGCCTTGACCATCTCCGTCAGATCGGGGGGGATGGCGCCAGCATTGGCGGAACGGGCAGCCTCCTCGTTGGGGTAGGGGCGGGGCAGGTAGTCGGTGGGCTTGCCGGGGCGGGTGAACATCTCGCCATCGTCGTTGGGTCCATCCTCGACCTCGGTTTCGGCGGCCATCGCGATGACCTCCTCTTCAGTGTAGAGGGTCTCAATGAGGTTACGCCAAGCGATGTAGTTCAGGCTGTGGCAGGCAGCGCACACCTCCTTGTACACCTGGTGGCCGCGACGCAGGCTGCATGTGGCGCGAGATGGAGAAAAGAAAAATCAGGATCGTTGATTTTGACATCGTCACTAAGCGCTACGTAATGCTTCGTTCAGATCGGTTGGGACGCACGCACCTGGCCACATCGTAGGACTTCCATTCGGACTTGTGGCTCCAGGGGTAGGCGGGGGCCACGAGGACATCGTCGGAGCAGCGAGCCCGGCTGATGAGGGTACCCGCGGCAGCACCGACGGCACCAGCGCCAATCACGAGGCCCAAAACGTTGGGGTGGAGCCTCTTGGCCGAGGCGCCCGCCGACGTAGCGAACGAGCGGGTCTGCGAGCGGAAGGCCTAACAGCGCGAAAAATCGAGGTGAGCAAAATGTGCCGAATTACGCCCCACTGCGGGGCTGAAAGGATAAGGGTTATAAAAACGCTAACGCTGAAGTGCTGAGTGCTGGGTGCCGCCGGAGAAATGTGGGGGTGGGATGGTGATAATGATGGTGGTAATGGCGCAAGTAGATCGATGTGCAATGACTGATTATAAAGCGCGAGTGCAGTGGAAGAGAAGGGACATTACCATGCCCGTGGCGGAGGTAAGAGTCCTCTGTCTCAGCATTCTATTTTTTATGCTTTTTGATGTAAATGTGCCTTCGATGCCCTGCGCGGAGACGACAACTCTGCACTTCCGGCTCGCCATTCCTTGTCGACCAATATCGAACTCGGGAAATTTCTTCCCAGTTACCCAACCATCTTTTTTCTGTGTATTTTTGCGATTTAGGTTTATTTATCATTGCGTGTGCCTCTTCCTTGAAGAAGAGCACTGTGATGGTGTCAGCGTTGATAGAGCGTCAGGCGGGTCTGGCATGTGATATGTACAACGCCTGGTAGTAGCGTACGAATTCGTGTGTGCGTGTGGAGTCGGTACGGCGTTGGGCCTCGCCTAGTACTGGGGGCTCCTCAGCTTGAAGACCTCGATCTCGAGGACCGTGAAGTACTGGTGGTCGGTGAAGGGCGTGTGGCCCACCGGGGTGAAGCTGGTTCGCACGTTCACATACGAATAGCCGCTCAGGTTGCAGTTGTCCACCACGCCTGTCAGCCCGGCGGAAGAGGAGAGAGAGAGAGAGCGCGTAAGTCTTGGCGTGGTTGCATCTGGGAGAAGAGCAGAGCAAGGGGGCCGTACAAAGATCAGGCCCTGCGCCCCCGTAGATCGAGACGTAGTTGGGGTCGCTGTTGCCCCCGAACGTCGGCCCATAGTTGGGGTTGTGGTACACCGCATTGGCCGACGCCAGACAATCGAGGCCTGGAAAGAGGTGGAGTTGGGGGGGGGGTTAGCGCCGTCACACACGATGATGGCGAGTGGCACGCCGCCGCGCTGCATACGTTGCGGTCTTCCCGAGGGGTTGCGGAGGGTGAAGAGGAAGGAGGTGTGGTCCTGGTGGAAACCCGAACGCGACGACCATCCGATAGAGGTGAAGCCTGCATTCACACGGAGAAAGGGGTGGTCAGTCGGCGCGCAGACAAGCAGCACCGGAACCGGTCGAGAGGTAGAGTACCTCCCAGGACTTGGCCGGTGGTGGTCTTGATGATCGTCAGCGACGGGTGGGCGCCGTCGCACAGCTGATGAAAGTTGAACGCCCGGAACCCGTCCCTGGTTCCCCGATAGCACAGCTCCCAGTTGCCCTCCAAGTTGAGCCTGTGCCCGCACACAGTCGGCTCATCTCTGTTAGGACAGAGTAGGGGAAAAAAGAAAAGAAAAGAAAAGACGCAAAGGTGTCGATGAACCATTCGTGCAATTGGCCGCAGTCGTCTTGCTCCAGAATCATCGAGTCCAGCTGCGCACCTGCGGCCACGATAGGAAAAGCCGGTTAGGCCCCGACAGAAATGTTGTGTGTCGCGCACCATTCACGAGCCACTCGACGCCAATTGACGCACACACACACGAAACGATGCAACACGCGAAACAATACATAAACGTCACACAACACACCAAACGACACAAGCAGCCATTGGATGTTGGGCGTTGGTTACCTCCGTAGAGGGCTTCGACGAGTCCAAAGTACTCGAGCTCGAGCTTGATCCGTCGCTTGGCGCACTCGGAGTCGGGCCAGAGGAAGCAGCCGGTCTGCAGCCACTCCAGTATGACGGCGAACGACTCGCCGGGACGGTCGATGAAGTACCGGCCGCGCGAGTCCTGGATCAGGGAGTGGCGCCCGCTGAACATGGCCGCCAGCATGCTACCCTCGTACTTGCAGATCGTGCTCTGCAACCACTCACGACACGGTGAACGCGTCAGCGTGTGTGTGTGTGTGTGTGCGTGCGGTGGTGCGTGTGCGGTGGTGCGTGTGCAGGTCAAACTGGGCGAGAGGGAGTACAAGGAAGGTGGAGAAGTGCTTGCCTCCAACGTTGAGCTCGAGCACCTTATCCGTGATCTTGTACCGCTCGCTCATCACCTGCAAAGCCACAGGCGATGAAGGGTAAGAGTGAGAGGGGGAAATGTAGCGCGCCAGGGTTTAGTGTAAAGTTCCTCTACGCGCTGCTGGTGAAGAGATGAAAAGAAGAGGAAGAAGAACAAGAGACGCGTCTCATCGAGTAGAGACAAGATGTAGCCGAGAAGAAGTAGATGTGGATGGAGGGGAATGGCTGGTGTTGTGTGAACCTTCTTTTCGGTGTCGAGGTGGGCCTTCTCTGCGGCGAGGCTCTGCTTCTCACGTTCCAGCTGGCACTTGAGCTTCATCGCCTTCTCCTGCATGAGCTGCCAGGCCGAAGTCATTTCATTCAGCTCCACATCCACTTTCTTGTGTTCGGAGGTGCCTCCAACCGCCCGCGCTTCATCTTGCTCTGCGCGCAACTCAGACATGAACGCTCAAAATCGCTCTCCCCGACCGGCTAATCGGTGGGCGGTGTGGGTGATTGATTGATTGAATCAACTGTTCGCGTTCCATTCGGGAGGGCATTCTCGGCCCTGTAGCGTTCGCGTCTCCGCAGAAATAGCGCCGTCTTCTTGCTGATTTTTCTCTGCTGTTTTCTCTCCTGCAACAACAGTAAAGAAGAAAATCACAAAGAAATGTTCAGACTTCTGGAAAATCAAAGCACTATCGTCATTGGCTCAGATTTTTTGATTCGGCCTCGCAAGCACCACGTCGGCTGCCTGCCCACGTTGTGAAGTGTGAAGAAGCCGCACGTAGAAGGTTGGCGCGAGCGCAAACAACCTGACATCAGAGATCTGATTGGGATCGCTTTGATTGAGTAGAAACCAATTCCATCTCTACAAAATGGTACGCTTCTCCGCCCACGCAGGTTGTGGATCTACACGAAATCAATTTCGGGATGGAATTGATGTGGGGTTCAATCACACTGAGTGTGTACGCTCAAATCCTCACCTCTGATTCCCACCCCCCCACATGTAATTATGCCTGGCCATTTAGCCGCTTCGCATGGACATTCAGGTGCGTCTCCCAATCGCCCCCTTCATCTGCACTGGCATCCGTTATTCATCCTTCTTTGGGCTCTTTGTGGCTCGTGATTCTTCCAACAGCGCAAGTTCTCGGCGCGCTCGGACAGAGTCAAGTCTGTTGACTTCCATCCTAGCGAGCCCTGGATTTTGGCTTCGCTCTACAATGGCAATGTCTACATCTGGAACTACAAGACACAGAACCTCGTCAAATCTTTCGAGGTCTCCGACTTGCCTGGTAAAGCCTCCTTCCATTCGCTTGATTTGCTGCTTCCCTCCGAGATCGAGCGTTGCGAGAAAGGAGAGAGATGGGAGCCGAAGAGTAACGTTGTGCCGCACGTGGGCGGCGGTCGTGCACAGTGCGTACGGCCAGGTTCATCGCGCGCAAGCAGTGGGTAATCTGTGGTGCCGATGACATGCTCATCCGTGTGTACAACTACAACACCATGGAGAAGGTTGCCGAATTCGAGGCCCACCAAGGTACATGCACTCTTCTGATCGGCTTCTTCTACCCGACAGGTGTCTTTTATCCCACTACTCGTCTACTACGTTCGTCTGCTTACACTTCTTGGCCAACCTCTCCTCTCTCTCGCCTTTCTCTGCAGACTACATCCGTTGCTTGGCCGTGCACCCGACGCAGTCGTTCGTGATCTCGTCGTCCGACGACATGTTGATCAAGCTGTGGGACTGGGAGAAGAACTGGCAGTGCGTGCAGGTGTTCGAGGGCCACACCCACTACGTCATGCAGCTCACCTTCAACCCCAAGGATCCCAACACCTTCGCCTCGGCCTCGCTCGACAGGACCATCAAGGTACTACAACCGTCGGCTCTGCGCGCCAGATCTGTCTCTCCAACTCTGCTGCCCTTGGCGCACTGTCTCATCCACGCGCCTCGCTGTGTGTGGTGTGTGTGTGTGTGTGTGTGTGTGTTGTGCTGCAGGTGTGGGGTCTGGGCTCTCCCGTTGCGCACTTCACGCTCGAGGGCCACGACAAGGGCGTCAACGCCATCGAATACTTCACCGGCGGCGACAAGCCTTACATCATCAGCGGTGCCGACGACAAGTGCGCCTTCGCCCCATACTAGAAACAGCTCTCAAGTGTAGAGCCGACGTAGTTCTTACATGCATACGCCTGACTCGTTGTTCTCTCCTTCTTCTTCTTCTTGCGCGACAGGCTGCTCAAGGTGTGGGACTACCAGAACAAGACCTGCGTGCAGACCCTGGAGGGCCACACCCACAACGTGTCGGTTGCCTGCTTCCACCCCACCCTGCCGCTCATCATCTCCGGCTCCGAAGACGGCACCGTCAGGTGTGTACACACGCGCTGCGCCTCCTCTCACCACCAACTCACCTCGAGCGCGCGTCGTGCGCCGCTGTATCGCGTCGCGTGTGCACCGATCTCGGATGCTGATGCTTGCTCCTTCTCTCGACAAACTCGGCTCACAGGCTGTGGAACTCCAACACCTATCGTCTGGAGAAGACCCTCAACTACGGCATGGAGCGCATCTGGGCTCTGGGCTACCTCAAGGGCTCCAACAAGCTCGTTCTCGGCTACGACGAGGGCTGCGTCATGATCAAGCTGGGCAGCGAGGAGCCCGCCGTGAGCATGGACCCCACGGGCAAGATCGTGTGGGCCAAGCACAACGAAATCCAGGCCGCCAACGTCAAAATCGCCGGAGGTGCGCCACCACCACCCAACGCGCAAACATTAAGAAGTATTACGCAAAAGAAAAGAAGAGAGAAAAGGGAACTAACGCCTGCTGCTGGTGGATGCTGTATGGTCACGGGCAGACGTGGAGGTCGTGGACGGCGAGCGCCTGGCTCTGCCCACGAAGGACATGGGCACCGTGGAGATCTTCCCGCAGACCCTGAAGCACAACCCCAACGGTCGCTTCATCGTCGTGTGCGGCGATGGCGAGTACATCATCTACACCGCCATCGGTACACCGTCTCACCCGGCGCCAACCGCACACACCGCGCGCAACACACGACACGACACGACACGACACTCCGTGCGACATGCACGCACACTCACGTCGAGCGTATGTGTGGCGGCACAGGTCTGCGTAACAAGAGCTTCGGCAGCGGTCTGGAGTTTGTGTGGTCGAACGACAAGAGCAACTCGTACGGTGTGAGGGAGAGCTCGTCGAAGATCAAGATCTTCCAGAACTTCAAGGAGACCAAGATCATCCGCCCGACCTTCTCGGCCGAGGGCATCTTCGGCGGCCCCCTGCTCGCTGCCCGCTCCACCAGCTCCGTCACCTTCTACGACTGGGAGGGCCGCGTCATCAGGAAGATCGACGTCGTGCCCAAGTCGGTACGTCTCTGCACCTGCGTGTGCGGTGGTGCTCACACCAGGCTGACGTGTCGTGTCGTTGGTCGTGTCGTGTCGTGTGTTAGATCTACTGGAGCGACAGCGGTGATGTGGTGACGATCGCCACGGAGGCGTCGTTCTTCATCCTGCGCTACAACAAGGACATCGTCGCGCGCATGATCGACAGCGGCATCGAGGCGGGCGACGAGGGCATTGAGGACGCCTTCGAGCTGCTGAGCGAGACCAACGAGCGAGTGCGCACGGCGCAGTGGGCCGGGGACTGCTTCGTCTACACCAACGCCGCCAACCGGCTCAACTACTGCGTGGGCGGCGAGATCTTCACCATCTCCCACCTCGACCGCCAGATGTACCTCCTCGGCTACGTGCCCCAGCACAACCGCCTCTACCTCGCCGACAAGGTAATGTCACACACACACGACACACACGACACACACAACACACACAACAACGCACTTCCTTGTTTGCTGACGTTCCCTTCACCACCTTCCATCTGCAGAACTTGAACGTGGTGTGCTACACGCTGCAGCTGTCGGTGATCAACTACCAGACGGCCATCCTGCGCCAGGACCTCGAGGCCGCCGAGAAGCTGCTGCCCAGCATCCCCACCGAGGCCCGCGAGAGGTGCCCACGCGAATCCTTTTTCTTTTTCTTTTGCATATTCCGTTTCGTTTCGTTTCTGTTTTGTAATTTCTAAAATGTTGTTTGAACGGCGCGCAGGGTGTCGCAGTTCCTGGAGTCGCAGGGGCTCAAGGAGCAGGCCCTCCAGATGTCGACGGACACGGACCACCGCTTCGACCTCGCCGTCCAGCTGGGCCTCCTCGAAATGGCCGAGGAGATCGCCAAGGAGGCCGACTCCGAGCACAAGTGGCGCCAGCTGGGCGATCTCGCTCTCACCCACTGCAACGTATGCGCTTCCCCCTCGTGTGTCGTGTGTGTCGTGTGTGTCGTGTGTGTCGTGTGTGTCGTGTGTGTCGTGTGTGTCGTGTGTGTCGTGTGTGTCGTGCGTTGCGCGTCTGGGCTGAGCGGATGTTGTGATGGTGCAGTGGGACCTGGCGGAGGAGTGCCTGCTGAAGGCGGGCGACCTGAACGGTCTGCTGCTGCTGTACACGTCCATCGCGCGGGGCGAGGGCATCGAGAAGCTGGCCCAGCTGGCCGTGGAGCAGGGCAAGAACAACATCGCCTTCATGTGCTACTTCCAGCTCCGCCGGGTCGACGCCTGCATCGACCTCCTCTGCGACACCGGCCGCATCCCCGAGGCCGCCTTCTTTGCCCGAACCTACGCACCCGGGTACCCACACACACACACACCAACCGCTCCCGTTGCATTGGAATGTGAAGAACTCACACGTGTGTCGTGTGTCGTGTGTTCGTGTGCGGTGTCGTTCGATCAGTCAAATCTCGCGCGTGGTGAAGCTGTGGCGCGAGGACCTGCAGAAGAAGGGTCTCGCGCGCGCTGCCGAGTCGCTCGCCGATCCCCTCGAATACGACAACCTCTTCCCCGACATCTCGCTCGTACGCATCCCTCCCCACCCATTCATCAAGCTCTCTCCTTTCTCGTCGCACACGCTCATCACCTCAATTCTTCTTCTACTTCGCTTGGCCGCAATCGTCGCACACAGGGCCTGAGGGCTGAGGAGATCGCGCAGGAGGAGAGGGAGCAGGCCTACCCGGCGACGCGCTACCTCGACGTCAAGGAGAACCTCGACAGGGACATCGTCGCCGGTACCCCCCACCCTCTCTTCTCTCTCTTTTGATTCTTCATCGGCTGCCCTTGGCTTGCGTTCAACGCACTTGTGCTCACCTCCTTACCCTTTCTACTCGTGTGCGATGCGGTGCGTGTCGTTGGTCGTGTCGTGTGTGTCGTGTCGTGTGTGATTTGAAACAGCCTTGAAGGAGGAGGGAGGTGATGTGGCGGAGGAGGGCGCCGATGAGGAGGAAGTCGTCGAGGAGGCCGCCGAGCTCGAGCCCGAGCCCGAAGCGCCAGTGGAGCCCGAAGAGGTGGTCTTTGACGATGACCTGGGCGTAGAAGACGACGACCAGCTCCTCGAGGACCACGACGACTAAAGAGAAGGAGGAGGAGGGGGAACATGAGCTGACGTCATCAACACATCACCAACATGTCCAGTGTTGATGGAGAGCGCACAATGTGTGCGAGAGGGGAATGCCAAAAATGAGAGAATATGTGATCGACGCAATGTGTGGTGCTGGTGGTGTGGTGGCGGTCAGCAGGAGCAGGTCTTGCCGCGGGCGCCGACCTCGCGGCCCATGGCCGAGTGCCAGCGCAGGCGGCCGTCGACCCAGACCTGGTCGGGTCCGTGGTGGGCCAGCAGGGCCGGGTCGAGGTCCACGCGGTGGGACACCACCACGAAGTCGGCCTTCTTGCCCCGCTCCAAACTACCGAGCTCGTCCTCCTGTGTAGCGCCACACACACGCACGCACACAAGCACACACCACGTTACCACTGCGCACACCACACGCGCGACAGCACACACGTACCCGCTTGGCGGTGAAGGCGCCGCTCGCGGTGTAGATGTGGAGGGCCTCGTCGAAGGTGAGCCGCTCCTCCTCGCGCCACGTTTGCTTGTTGGTGTCGTGCCTGAAGATCGCCGCGTAGAGGCCTTTTTTGGCGGCGTGTGCGGCGGTGCGCGTGTGCGTGTGCGTGTGCGGCGTAAAATAAATGGTGAGTGCCCTGTTGCGGCTTATCAGGCCAGGGACGAAAGCGCGCAGCAGGGTACCGAGGAAGGGGTCGGGCAGCTCAATCGGCGCATCGGAACCACCGGCCACCCGAATACCTACCATGACGAGGAACGTTTGGTGAGGCTCTGAAATCGTTTGCGCGCGTGTCGTGTCGTTGGTCGTGTCGTGTCGTGTTCGGTGTATATACCCTTGCCGAGCATGGTCTTCCAGGCGTAGCAGTACGGGAGCACCTCCGGCTGCACCCGCTTGTGCAGCCACAAACTGTCCGTCGTCACGAACTGTCATCCCCCCAAACCCAACGCGCAGTTACGACAAGCACCAATCTCGTGTCGTGTGCGTGTCGTGTGCGTGTCGTGTGCGTGTCGTGTGCGCGTCGTGTGCGTGTCGTGTCGTGCGTGTCGTGTGCGCGTCGTGTAGTGCAGTACCTGCGGCTGGACGTTGGCGATGACGCCGAGGCGGGCCATGGTGTCAAGTAGGTCGGGTCCAAGGATCTGGCAGTGGGTGAGGATGGGCCGATCCTCGGGCTGCACGCCCGCCTTCTCAAAGGCCTCTAGCACCGCCTCTGCGGCCTCGTCGCCGATCGCGTGCACCTCTGCCGCCACCCGCGCGCGTGCGTCGGTGAAAAGACAACACAACGCACGACCGCACACGCATCACCGCACACGCATCACCGCACACGCGTCACCACACACGCGTACGCACCCAAGCGGTAGCCGAGGTCGTGAGCCTTCTTGACCATGGAGACGAGGGTGGGACGGGAGTAGATGAGCAAGCCCTTGGCGTCCTTCCCCACGTAGGGCTGGCGAAGGGCTGTTGTGTGGCCACCGATCGCACGACACGCACGACACGCACGCGCTCATCAGTAAGAAATCGGGCTGTGTCGTGGGCGTTGGGTGGGCGGCGGTGCGCACCGGCCGTTTCTGCGCCCAGGCTGCCATCGGCGATGATCTTCACGCGGTGGCACTCCAACAGACCTGCACTCGCCCATACCATACGCCAATACAGCGTGATCAATTAAAAATGAAGAGAAATTACAAAAATACTCTAAGAAATAGAAATGGTATCAATAGTTTAAAAAAGACTAGTGAAATATTAGTATTTTTTTAAAAAAATAAAGTAGTATTAATAATAGTACCGGTTTGGGAGAGGGGCTTGGGGATGTCGGGCCGGTCGAGTTCGTGGTGGTAGACGGTGAGGTACACCCGGATGGGCAGCTTCCCCTCCTGCTGCAGCTCCTCGTACACTGTCGCGGCGCCAGCAGCGTAAACAACGACGACAACGACAACGACGACAACGACAGCTACAGTACGCGATACGTACGCTGCCAGGCGGGAGCGTCGTCGTTGGCATGCACGGCCGTGAGCCCCACCGACACGCAGTACTTGATGGCCGTTTCGATGTACTTCTTCAACGTCTCGCGATCGTCTGACAAATGATGAATGCATGGCATCACACACCGCACACGACACGACCAACGACACGCACACGACACACGACACACACACACACCGCACGACACGCGTGATCGCCGTTAGTGTCACGCGCATCGTGGGCTGACGGGTGAAGTTTGTGTCGAGGGTACTTTCGATGAGGCGCTGAACTTGGTCGAGGGCGAGCTCGCGTACGATGCCGGTCGGCTCGCCCTGCGGGTCCTTATCGATCTGCCCGCCGGGCGGGCTGGGCGTGTCCCTCGTGATACCCTGCCAGCAGCCACCACTTTGGAATGAATGGAATGCCACAGGAATGCCAAGGAATGTGTGTGTGGTGGTGGTGGTTGGTACCGCGGCGCGAAGGCCGGCCGTGTTGGTGACGCCGATGTGGAGGCACGCCCGCAGCAGCAGCACCGGCACGTCGGGCACCACCTCGTCCAGGTCCTGCCGCGACGGGTACCCGTTGTGGCCCATCAGGTCCTGGTCCCACCCAAACCCCACCACCCACCTGCCCAACCCCACACACGTCAGCAGCCACACGTCAGCAGCCACACGACACACACGACACACACTACACACACGACACACGACACACACGACACACACACGTGTGTGCCACGGGGTGAGCGCGAACGGACCTTCCCGGTTGGAGTTCTCCGGCGTTCCGCTTGGCGTCGACATAGGCGCGCAGCTTGTCCTTGAGCTCGCCCATCGAACCCACCTCCTGTTGTACCCCACATCACATCAGCTCCCGCGTGCGTGTGCGGTGGCGTGTGCGATGTAGTGTGTGTGCGCACGCGTACCTTAAGGTGGAGGTAGGACAGCATCTTGCCCAGGCCCAGCACGTGGATGTGCGAGTCGTGCGGCCCCTGGCGCGCAATTGCTGACGTCAGCACCAGCCGGCAGAAGCCGAAGAAGAGAAGGCGGAGAAGAGGAAGCGTACCGGGAGGACGAGCTTGCCCTCGAGATCGATCACGCGGGTGTCGTCGGCGGGCGGGAGGGCGACTGACGTCGGCTGCTGCTGGCTGTCGTCTGTGGACCACACGTCGACGATGCGGCCGCTGGCAGTGTCGAGAACGAGGTCGGTCTTGAGGAGGTGGTCGGTGGTGGGTGGCGTCGCCGCATCTGCCGCACTCTCGCGCCCCACCCCGGTGGTGCTGTAAATCTTGCCGTTGCGCAGGTGCACAAATCTCTTTTCTTCCATCTCTTGTGGCTGGGAAAAAGTTTCTTTTGTGTTTACCTTTTTTTTGTCTACCCACCTCTTTGGGTAGCCCCATTATGATCAATTTACACCAAAAGGGACTTGTTATTCTTTCCAGTCCTAGTTGAGTGTATGTGCATGCTTAAACTCTACAACAATACACATCACACCTGCTAACTGCAGCTGACTTGGGAATGCCAGTGAGGGTACTCTCAAGGCCTGAGTGCAAGGCAACAACCAGTGCCCTGGCCTGCAAATGGCCACCAAGTATGGTGCAAGCCAGGTATACTTGTAAAGGCCACGAAGTTAGGCGCAGGCACTGCGTTGCCAGGCAACCGACGAAACCGTTGAAAATTGGCTCAGGCATTCCAGGCATGTTAGGTTAAAGGTCATAATTGGGGTAAAATTGCCCAAGAGGTGAAAAAGTTTATCTTCTACACGCCCCGCTGACCACTGCTTGCATTTCGAACGATTTATTATTTATTATTATTAGTTTTTCATAGCCGAGATGGGACACAAGAACTCCAAGGAGAAAAAGCTCGATGCTGACAAGAAGAAATGTACATTTCCTTCTTGTAGTTTAGATTGTTCTGCAAGCATCCAACTAACGAATCCGAGTAGATGGCAGCGTGTCGTCGAGCATGGTCAAGAAGCTGCAAGAGGAGACACACTGTACGCCCAAAGTGCCTTTTTTTATGTGAAAATAATATTTTAATAATCAATACCATATATATGGGTCAAACGTGAATACAAATAATTATTTCAATATATTATTTTAAAAAATCTGTCAAATAAAAATAGAGTTTTTTGTGTGTCTGGGTGGTCAACGTTGTGACCTTCATGTGTGGGTGTGCACGCAGTCGACAAGGTGGAGGTCAAGTCCCTGTACTCGACCTTCAACGAGTGCGCCACCGACGGCAAGCTCGACCGGCCAGCCTTCAAGAAGGCCATCGGGTACCTCTCTCTCAGCTGCCGCTACCCTCTCCTCTAATGATCGGCGTTGCCGAGCCCTGACCTGCTTCTTCGCTTCGCTTCGCTTCTCTCTTTTTCGCGAACAGCAAACTCGAAGAGGCCGGCCTGAAGAAGCTCGATGACACACCCTTCCCTGACAGGTGCGTGTGTCGTGTGCGGTGTGCGGTGTGCGTGTGCGCCGTGTGTGCGGTGGTGCGTGCGTGTGCGGTGGTGTGTGTGTGTGTTTTGATCGGTGTGTGTCTGTTGCCAGGATGTTTGAGCTGTTGGACCTGAACAAGGACGGCACGGTCGACCTCCAGGAGTTCATCTCCGGCCTCTCCTTCCTCTGCAAGGGCACCCCCGAGGAGAAGCTCCTCCGTACGCCGCCCCCCTCGCCCCCTGCACCGCGCTCGTGCCGCTCACCCTGACCTCTCTCTCTATGTGTGTGTGTGCGTGCGTGCGTGCGCGGTCGCGTATCATGCGTGTGCGGTGGTGCGTGTGCGGTCGTGTGCGTGCAGTGTCGTTCAAGGCCTACGATATCGACGGGAATGGCTACATCACGAAGGATGAGCTCTGCCTCATGTTCAAACAGGTATCATTACTCCAAACACTGCGCGCGGCGATGTGTTGCGTCGTGACTCAACGCAACGTGTGTGTGTGTGTGTGTGCGGTGTCGGGCGCACGTGCGGGAGTAGGCGTGGATATCCGGGTTCAAGGCGCTCTGCACGACGCACGGCAACGAGGAGCTCTCGATGGAGGAGCTCAACGAGTTCGCCGAGGAGATGGCCACCCTCTTCGCCGACAACGCGTTTGACACCCTCGACACCAACAGTACTCTTCCCCCCCCCGCACGCGCGATTGCGCACGCACGCACCGCTCGCCCCTCCCCCCTCCCCCCCTCCCGCACGCGCTAAACGCGTTATCGTCTGCAGAGGACGGCAAGCTGTCGTTCGAGGAGTTCAAGGAGTTCGCGTTGGCCGAGCCGAAGATCACGGCCACCCTCAACGGATTCAAGAGGGAAGTCACCATCACCTTCTGAGCGACCGTCATGGTGATGACCATCAGAGTGTTGGGGGGGGGGTGTACAAGACCGTCGTTTTCGTGTTTCATTTTTTGTACACGAGCCAACAAAACGCTGAGCGGGCATTGGCGCGGAAAAGGGGGCAGAGGCCCACGGGAGCGCAGCACCGGCGCGTTGTGCCATTGGTCGGCACTGACGGAATTCATCTTGCTGTTTTCTTGATGACCGCCCGATAAAATGAAGGCGTGGCCCAGACGGCTCCTTGTACCTAACTTCTCACACTCGGAAAACATGAAGGCCTTCGTTGCCGTCCTGGGCCTGCTTGCCCTCTGCGTCTATGCCTCGGCTGGTACCAACTCATTACCACTGAATCGATTGGATCGATCATCTGATGAACTGCAGATGGAACTGTAGATGACACTGTTTTTAATATAATGTGTTGCGACGCAGAGCTGGCGCCGCTGCACAAGGCCGTTTCCGGCCAGGCTATTGCGGACGAGTACATCGTCCTCATGAAGCCCGACATGCTCCACGAGGAGTGTACGTGTCACTCATCTTCGCTTTCGTTTTCGTTCCCTTTGAAAACGCGAAGCCCTTTTCGTTCTTTTTTTGTTTTATTACTTTTCCGTAATTAATTTTTTGGCTCGTGCTCGTGTAGGGGAGGGTTATGTGAGCGACATGACCAGGCTTTTCGCCGCCGACGTCGATGGCGAGGTCCTCAACACCTGGATCATTGGCAACTCCTTCAAGGCGCTCCACGTCAAGACCTCCTCCTAGTACGTCGTGGTCCCACAGTACCCCATTGTTTTTTTTTTTTTTGATTGTTGTAAAACTGCCCACTAATATTTTTTGTATTTGATGTGTAGCGCTGTCCAGTTCCTCAGGAGCCACCCCGCCGTGGAGCTGATCGAGGAGAACCAGGTCCGCACTCTCCAGGCCTGCCGCTCCGAGAGCGGCGCCATCTGGGTATGTCACCGCACACGCACACGAGCCAACGAAAGTCTAACCTCTTGTTTTCCACCCCCGCTCTCAAGTAGAACTTGCAGAGGATTGAGACCCACGCCATGTCGGGTGTCAACGGCAAGTACACCTGGGACCAGACCGCCTCCAGCGTCGACGCCTACATCATCGACACGTACGTTCTTCACCATTTCCTGATTCGCACACTGTTTGTGGGCCAATGCTGACGTGGCACCGCACACAGTGGTATCCTGACGACGCACCAGGAGTTCGCCGGTCGCGCCATCTGGGGCAACAACTTCGCCGGTGACCGCAAGGACACCGACTGCAACGGTCACGGCACCCACGTCGCCGGTACTGTCGGCGGCACCACCGTGGGCGTGGCCCGCGGCGTCACCCTGATCGCCGTCAAGGTGCTCGGTTGCGACGGCAGCGGCACCGCGGCCGGCGTCATCTCCGGCATTCAGTGGACCGCCGAGAACGCCCGCAAGCGCGGCCGCAAGTCGGTGGCCAACATGTCGCTCGGCGGCGGCTACTCGTCGGTCGAGAACCGCGCCGTCGCGGCCGTGGTCGACGCCGGCGTGCCGTTCGCCGTCGCCGCCGGTAACGAGGACCAGAACGCGTGCAACGTGAGCCCGGCCTCGGAGGCCAAGGCCATCACCGTGGGCGCCACCTACTTCACCGGCGGCCTGGGCTCCGGCCAGGACATCCGCGCGTCGTTCTCCAACTGGGGCACCTGCGTCGACATCCTGGCGCCCGGCCAGGCCATCAAGTCGGCCTGGATCGGCTCCAACAGCGCCTACAACACCATCTCCGGCACGTCGATGGCCTCGCCCCACGTGTGCGGCGTGGCTGCGCTGATCTTCGGTGCCCACCCGTCCTACTCGGCCGACGCGGTCAAGTCCAAGATCCTGGCCGACTCGACCTCCAACGCCATCGACCTCAAGTGCACCAAGAGCGGCTGCTCGAGCACCCCCAACAAGCTGCTCTACACCGCCCCGTGCTAGACCAGTTGTAGAAGTCGCACTCTGCTCCCCCCAACCCTCTTTGTGTAGTACTCGCCCTCTCTCGGTGGGCACCCCACTTGGATAAACTTGTCGCCATTTGGGCTCTTCACGTTGTTGTTCTTCAACCTTCACCCCCATCTCTTTCTACTTGAAGTGTTGCACCTTCACAACACGCTTCTCGTTCTACTTGCGCGTAGCGGCTCAGCAGTCCGAGCTGGGCGGGAAGAAGCCGCTGAGCGGTGGAGAAGAGGCCGAGGAGAAAGACGAAGACGAAGACGAAGAGCAGGTGCTGTGGTCGTCCTCGAAGAGAAGGAATTCGTGCCAGGCCCCCTCGGCCCCGGTGGTGGGCGTGTAGGGCGGCACGAGCGGCGACGGCGCGGGAGCATCGAAGTTGTGGTGACCGCCGCGCACAGCCAGCGCGGAGGCCTGCATCGTCTCCTCGGCAACCTCCCGCCCCACTTCTTCCCACTCCTCCTTCTCTCTCACGCGCAACTCTACAGATTGTCGTGCGTGCGTGCGTGTGCGTGCGTGCGTGCGTGCGGTGTGTGAGAAAGAAGTGAGACCATCAAAAGCGGGATGTCGGGCGGAACCTTCGATAGAGAAAGGCAGGTAGTCCCTTGCCAGGACTTCGTCGACGCACATCACGGCGTAGGTGAGCTGCGCAGACGCGGCACCGTGAGCAATAAAATAAAAGTAATGAAACAAATAAAAATAATTACGATAACATAAGAATAATAAAAGAATGTGAGTCCGCCGGTGGTGTACCTGCCCATCGGAGCTCCAGAAGAATTGGTTGCGTGCCGCGACTTTGACGAGGTATCCGTCCTTGTGCTCGAGGTGGATGCAATGCTGGACGATGTCGCCCATTCCGACGCGAAACCTGTTCATGGTGGTGTCGAGGTGCCGTGGCGGCGTTAGGCGACCACCACTCAACTCAACTCTGGCGTGGTGTGGCGTGTGTACCCATCTCGCCAGGAGCGGCTGAACTCGAACTTTTGGTGCCGCGGGACCAGCGAGAACATTTCTCGGCCGAGCAGCTCAGCCTGGTGTACGGATTGAGTGTGGGTGTGTGGGTGTGTGTGGGTGGGTGTGACGGGCAGTTATAACACCGCGCACAGCGTCAGCAGACACACACACATCAAGTATGCGTACCATTGAGAAGCCGGTGATGTCGCAAAACTGGTGCGTGGCGAACGTGGTGCTCGAACGGGATTTCTTCCCATGCGGGACCGTTAGCACCGCTATCGCTTTCCTGGATGAGCCAAAGCGATCAGAAGAAGAATGAGGAAGAATGAAGAAGAATGAAGAATGAAGAATGAAGAATGAAGGCGGAGAGTACTGGAGGTCGTCGACAACGAAGCGGCTCGGAGAGAGGTTGTAGCGTTGGAGGAAGGGGAAGCAGCAAAGCACCTCCTCACTCAGAACATCTCCATTGTTGCTGCCGGTCGCACCACCACCACCACCGTCGTCATCGTCATGGCTCACTCTTCTTCGCTTGGGCGAGCTCACGCTGGCGAACGAAGATGATGAAGATGAAGATGAAGACGACGATGATGATGTAGAAGAAGTGGAAGAGGAAGAAGACGGCGTGAGATAGGAATAGCGGGCGACGCCGTGGCGCGACGCGGCGACTTGCGCCAATTGGATGCGGAGTTGCGAGTTGTCGTCCTCGAGCTGCTGCAGGCGTCGCTGCATCTCCTGGACGTCGCCCTGGAGCTGCTCCATGCCGCGCACCCTCTTCTTCATCCCGTGGACCTTGTCCGTCATCGCGCGCATGTCCTCCTTCAGCGCGATGATCGTCTCCACCAGAAAGCTGGTCGTCACCCCGCTCAGGCCCTGGTTCTCCGCAGCTGCTGCCGACGCCGGCGGTTGTGCCGATGGTGCTGATGTGTTGACTTGTCGCCCGTAGTGTTGTTGTTGGTGGTGTCGATCCTGGGTCGGTGCGGCTGTGGCTTCTCGATCGAGAGGAGACGGTGATGGCAACGATGGCGTTGGTGGTGCTGTGGCGGCGGCTGCAGCTGCTGGCGAAGCTGATGATGGCGGAGGCGCGAATGAATCACAGGCCTGCGGCAGGATCTTCACCATGCGAGGCACGCCTGATGGTGGTGACGATGGTGAAGATGACGATGCATCACCAACAACCACGACGTGTGGATGTGAGTGCACACAAGAAAGGCGTGAGCTTCTACTTGAGTCGACAAGAAAAAAAGGGGGAGGTTGGGCGTACCCGGGGAGGGGACCTGGCGGGCTGGGCGGCCTCGCTTGGAGGGCGGGCGGAAGCACCGTTCGGGCATGCCCAACCGCACACATCGCTCGCATGGCAGAACCCTTCACCCCATAACATCGAGTTATTATTTTTTTGATTAATAATGAAAGGCGGGAAAAATGGAGGTGAACAGAGGATCAGAAGAAGGAGGAAAGGGGGGGGCACCTGTCGCACGCGGTTCGAGCAAGACGGCACAACGCACAGCTCATTGTGTTCTCTTTTGTTGCGTTTTGTTTCAATTTTTGGGTTTTTGTTTTTTCAATCTTGTTTCGGTTTTTCTTGTAGACATGGAGAAGCAGATGCAGCGGGAAGAGGATGGAGGGCTTGTGGATAGTGAGGCGGACGGAGGGGGGCACCACCACCATGCCGATGAGGCCAGGCTCGAGGTGGGTGGTGAGGTCCTGCCGCTCGAGCTCACCATCCACGTCCTCTCCTTCCTCGATGCACGAGATCGGCTCTCCCTCGCCCTCGTGTCCCGCCCCTTCCGCGTCCTAGCCGACGACGACCTGTACCCCCCCTCTTCTCCGCCCATTCTTTTTTATTCTCCTTTTTCAATAAATAAATAGCAAATAAATAATTAAATCTCGAGATTAGTCAAATAATAAATAGGAATTATTACTTATTTATTCTATTTCTACTTGTTTTTCTTTGCAGGCAGTGGAGGCGGTTGTACGCGCGGGAGTGGTTCAGGGAGGGGAGCGAGGCGCCCAACGGGCAGGCCTGGGAGCGTCGGCCGCTGCCCAAGGTCAAGGACGTCACGTCGTGGAAGCTCCTCTTCCGCCTCCGCACCCAGACCGAGCGCGCCCACTTCCCCAGGAAACAACAACCCACACGCCGCGACGTAGCCGACGACGATGATGCTCATGGCGGCGGTGGTGATGGTGATGGTGGTGGTGATGCGTCGTCCGCTTCATCACCACCACCGCCGCCGCAGTTGGTCGGAGAAGACGGTGATGATGGTGGTGATGGTGATGATGGTGGCGACGGGGAGGTCGTGCTGCCGAAGGAGCCGTGGGTGGCGCGGGAGAAGCGGAACGGCCGCAGCTACTGCTTGTGGGGCGACTACCTGCGCCAGAAGCTGCCCCAGGTCACCACGGTACCCCCCGCGCGCAGCATTACACTACGACTGCTGGCTCTACGCACTCGGCACCAACAACACTCACGCGTCCGCGTGTCGTATTGTGTCGTATTGTGTCGTGTGTGTGTGTGGTGAGCAGGACGAGGATGATCCGGTGCAGCTGAAGGAGGACCGGGACATCATGGAGGTGCGGTCGCTGTACCTCATCTGCCGCGAGGAGTTCCTCTCCGCCCTCTCCTACAAACTCGTACGCCCCCTTACCACACGCGCACACCACGCGCACACCGCACACACCACACGCACCACACACACACGGCTCATGAGTTGCATCGCGGTGTGCAGACGCCGGAGGAGCAGTTCAAGATCTACTTTTCGTTGGGCGACGTCACCCACGAGTTCTCGATCTACCAGCGCCACTTCCCACACAACCCCGCCCGTACGCGCGCCCCTCCCTCCCTCTTCCCCTCCTTGACCCCCGCCAGGCCTTGGCCAATTCAATTCGACCATTGAACTGGACCTATGTCGACGCACGCACACGCACCACGCACACGCACACGCACCACCGCACACGCATGGCACAGACCTGCGGGAGTGGTACGAGGCCGCGTGCGAGGCGTTCGAGAAGTCCCTTCAGACCACCACCGTGTCGGTCCGTGACAAGAGCAGCACCCTGTGCGCTTGGGCTGGTACGAGAACTCCTCTCAGTCCGAAGAAGAAGAAGAAGAAGAAGAAGAAGAAACAAACCAACGATGGTTCGGTTGGTGCTGATATTCGCTGCGTGGCACGCGCGCAGGTGTGATACGGGACTACGCCAACAGCGGGGTCGGTGGCGATGAGCAGACCGACCGGCTCTTTCAGCTCGCCTACGCCAAGTACCAGGTACGCCGCTTCGTTCGTTCGTTCGCTGCGATGATTGTTATGACGACAAATGGCGCCAACGCTTTGAGCTGACGAAACGGATTTGAATCGAATCGTGCGACGCGCAACGCCAACCACACCATCAACATCAACAGGAGGCGTTGGAGCTGTACGGGCGCAAGCGACCGGACTACCTACTTATCGAAAACTGGGCCTACGCCATTCGCGAGCACGCCAACTTCAACGTCCGCATCAACAACCACCCCGTACGCGCGCCTCTTTCTCAGGCCATGGTCGACATTTACATTTCTCTTCATACACGTCTTTGTTTATTTCTATATATCTACATATCGTGGCGCTTTTGGTTGATTGGTCGGTCGGGTTCACTGCTGACGTGTGGGACCTGGACCTGGGCACGCGCGAACAGGAGGCCGAGCGGCGTTTCGACGAGTGCTTCAGCAAGTACGAGATGTGCAATTCTCTGCATTCCGACTCCATCGTGCTCAGCAACTGGGCCGGTACGCGCGCACCGCTCCCACACTCCATCTCTCTCCACCGCACATTGGCACTGACACTTACACTGTGTCGTTGCCGTGCCGTGCCGTGCCGTGTCGTGCCGTGTCGTTGGTCGTGTCGTGAGCAGATGCACTTCGTGAGAAGGCCGAGATAGTGGACGGAGAGGGGAGAGACAGCCTCTTCAAGCAAGCCCACTTGAGATATAAGGTACGCGTGTACCGCATGTGTGTCGTATCGCACGCGCGCGCGCTTGCTTGCGTGCTTGCTCATCGGTCGCTTGGTGTCGTGCGTGTGTGCGTCGACGCTTTCGACAGCTCTCGTTCGCGCTCGACGCCATGGACTGCCTCACGTTGTGCAACTGGGCGATGCTCTATTGCCTGCGAGCGCGCACCTGCCACGCCCGCGCGCAAGCCCTCCGAGAAGACATCCGCCGATGCCAGGAAGACATCATCGGGTAACCAGCCAACCAGCCAACGCTTTGCTTTTTCTTCTCGGCCCGCGACCCATCGCCCACGCGTGTCGTGTCGTGTCGTGTGTGTCGTGGCATTGTTCGCGTGGTACAGAAGTGATGAGGAGGCGGTGCGGGCGAAGGAAGTCGAGGCGGCGAAGGCGGAGGCCGACTACCGGCGGCTGGTGGCGACGGGGAAGGCCAAGCTCGAGTTCGGCATCGCGGAGGGGGACCTCTGGACCTACTTCTGCATGGCTCGCCTCTGCGCCGGTACCGCCCCGCCCCGTCCACCAATAATATCGCATGCGGCGTGTGGCGGTGTCATTAATCCGATTGGACGAATGATAGCGGCGTGTGAGGCGGAGGAGTGCAGAGAGTGGATGACCAAGTGCGCGTCCAAGCGATACCTGTCCAAGGTACGGGAAAGAGAAACACACACGACACACGACACACGCACGGGCTCACAAACCACGCGGCTACATCTATATAAACACAGGCAAAGGAGTCGCAGTTGGCCGACTTTGCGTTCGTGAAGGATCTGGCCTGGTTCCAGGACATGCAGCATCAACAGCAGGCCGAGGCCACCACGCGCCTCCACGCAGAGTGAAGAAAAGAGACTCGACTGTTGTGTGTTGTGAAATTCTTGCGGTGATGGCGCGGAAATTCGCGAAGGGGTGAGCTGTCACGTGTGACCATGATGGTAAGTTACTAGTTGGTGGTGGATCTTGTGCCCATGTAAAGAGAACAAGGTCCCAGTCCCCGAACTGTTAAAAGGCGGAGAGCCCACAGGCTCACATGCTCTCAACACCCAAGCTCTCGCAGCATCAACAACACGACCAATACATACAGCTCAGTACAAAACAACACCACCATCAGAAGAATGAGGCTCACCACCGTTCTGCTCCTCCTGTGCGCCGCTCTCGCTCTTGCCGCGCTGAGCGCTGAAGGTACCCTCTCGCATGTTGCAACTTGCTCTGCCGATCACTGGTCTGAACGTGTCGTGTGTGCGCACCACACAGCCAACCGCGGACCCACTGACCGGGATCCTGCCCCGTAC